TTGGTCGAGGTGCATGGCGAGCTCAACTCTATAGCTGTCAGCACCATGAAGATAGCTAATGACATCAGATTTTTGGGCTCCGGACCACGCTGCGGCTTGGGGGAGCTAATTCTACCGGAGAACGAACCAGGCAGCTCGATAATGCCGGGCAAAATAAATCCCACTCAGTGCGAGGCAATCACAATGATATGTGCCCAGGTAATGGGAAACCAGGTGGCTGTGACCATCGGTGGCTCCAATGGACATTTTGAGTTGAATGCCTTCATGCCACTCATCGCTTCAAATGTGCTGCGTTCCATTGCATTGCTTAGCGATGGCCTCAGGACATTCACCGGCAACTGCTTACAAGGCACCAAGGCAAATACTGTCAAAATAAATAAAGCGTTGAACGAATCTCTCATGCTGGCATCAGCACTTAATCCTTACATTGGCTCCGACAGGGCATCGGAAATAGCTAACGCGGCATACGCCAATGGAACCACTCTGAAGCAGGAAGCCTTTAAAAAGGGCATCTCGAGCTCCGACTTTGAATCGTGGGTGCAGGTTAATAATATGTTGGGACCCAATTAAAAATTACCACACGTAGCTAAATGTTCTTTCGAGCCAATAAAGTACATTCTTAATTTATTTACATTATTTCAAAAATTATTTAGACCCAACCATTGGATTTGGAAGAGCATTAATCTAGCCCGCATCTTCTTTATGAATATCATCAGCTTATAATATTTTAACTAGAACGGGCTACTTTATGAATAAAATTGAAATGATCCATCCAATAATGAAAATATATGAGAAACCAATGCTTGATCCAAAACTTGGGTTCAAGGATGTATAAATTCAGATTCGCGAATCAAATTTAAGGTCGGAAAGTTGATGTGAAACGTTAATTGTATCACCATAATTTTTTTTATTGGGTGTCAACTAAATATTTATTTTGAAATTTATTTTAGCTTTAGAAGGCGCTGCTCTACAATTTTATAGGCATATTTGAAGTCGGTCTGTTTCATATACTGTATTTATATATATATATATATACATTTTGTTATTGGTATTATCATTGGAGAGGTGTGCAAATGGAGAAAAAATTGAGCCTCCAGCCTTCGGCCAAGCCGCCTACACGATCCGAGAAAGACACGATTGGCAATATAGAAGTGCCCGCCGATCGTTATTTTGGCGCCCAGACTATGCGTTGTGTAAACAATTTTCCCATTGGCGGTACGGATGAACGCATGCCGGTAATTGTAATGAGCGGCATTAATTTGAATTTGGTTTAGTAACACATGACCCTCACAGAAGCCCGTTATACAGGCCATGGGCATATTGAAGAAGGCCGCCGCCGAGGTTAACCAGGAGTTTGGGCTGGACAGCAAGGTGAGCACAGCGATTTCAGGTGTTTGCGATGAGGTGATCTCTGGCAAACTATTCGATGAAGGCCATTTTCCGTTGCCCATATGGCAAACTGGCTCTGGCACAATGACAAATATGAATGTCAACGAGGTGATAAGCAATCGTGCCATAGAGATTTTGGGTGGCGAGCTTGGCTCCAAGAATCCCGTACATCCCAATGACCATGTTAATAAATCTCAGAGCTCCAATGACACGTTTCCAACGGCGATACATATCTCTGTGGCCACTGAGCTGACCAAAAGCCTTAAGCCGGCGATCACCCAGCTACGCGACGCTCTCAGGGACAAATCCATTGAGTGGAAGGGCATTATCAAAATTGGACGCACACATACACAGGACGCGGTGCCGCTAACATTGGGACAAGAGTTTAGCGGGTATACACAGCAGTTAACCAACGGTCTGGAAAGGATTGATGCGGTCCTGCCCCATGTCTATCAGCTGGCTCTGGGTGGCACTGCCGTAGGCACCGGCCTAAATACCCGCAAGGGATTTGCAGAGAAGGCCGCCATGCGCATCGCACAGCTGACATCTCTACCATTTGTTAGTGCTCCGAACTTTTTTGAGGCCTTAGGCTCTAGGGATGCCATGGTCGAGGTACATGGCGCATTAAATACCATCGCTGTCAGCCTAATGAAGATAGCCAATGACATTCGATTCTTGGGCTCGGGTCCACGCTGTGGCCTGGGCGAGCTTACCCTGCCGGCCAACGAGCCGGGTAGCTCAATAATGCCGGGCAAAGTGAATCCCACTCAGTGCGAGGCTATGACAATGATCTGTGCTCAGGTAATGGGCAATCATGTGGCAGTCTCCGTGGGCGGCTCCAATGGACACTTTGAGCTGAATGTTTTCAAGCCGCTGATCGTCTCAAATGTGCTACGTTCGATAAAGCTGCTATGTAAGTTCTCGGACCAAGAGCTCTTTTAATGTCCACTACTAAATTCTCAAGTGTTATTATAGCTGATGGATGCAATTCTTTTACTAAGAACTGCGTGGTTGGTATTAAGCCGAACACAGAGAAGATAGCCAAGATACTGAACGAATCTTTGATGCTTGTGACAGCACTTAGTCCACACATTGGCTATGATAAGGCTGCTGAGATAGCAAAGACTGCCCATAAAAATGGCACCAACTTGAAGGAGGAGGCCCTTAAGGCTGGCATCGCAGAGAAGGATTTTGACGACTGGGTACGTCCGGAAAAGATGATTGGACCCAGCTAAACAGTGTTTCAAATGTTTTCTTTTTCCCATGCGAACAATTATTCAACTAAATAAATCAATTAAATTTATGATCTCTACACTTAACCTCTTCTAAACTAGCAGACGAATTCTGCCAAGGTGCATATTGACTCCTTGTTAACCTATTAAACTAGAATCATGGTAATGCACCTCTCCACTGAGGCAGAGTGTCCACCCATTACTTGAGGAAAAGGAAAGCATCTGGGCACAGATTGTCGTGCAACTCATGCTTGCCCATATACAATTGAAAAAGGCGATCGACTAGAAGGGACTACTCGTATAGTTATAATTAAAGTTATTGGGTATTTTAAGCAAAACTTTATTTTTTCAATTTATTTTAATCTACCGAATCGATGTAGCATGAATTTAGATACATATATATATAATAAAATTTGGATATAACAAAACTATGAAAATTTTTTTTTTTTTACGTTTGTTTTCGTCTCACTAACATTTGTACGGACTCAAGGAATTTATAAGTGCCGTTGCCTCTACACCACCAAACACCAAATTCACTTTTCTCATCGAATGACCCGTTGAGATTGCTAAAATTAAATACTACAAATTTAAGACAAGGTTAATAAGTGCCAATAAATTGCAACTTACCAGCTCGGGCATTCGTGCTGCCACCAGCGATTATATTCCACGGAATTTTTTGTAACATATCTGATTGTTTTGAATATATGCTGCTCATGCGTGCGTAATCCATCACCCGCATTCCCAAAATAATTTCCAAGCGATCTCAGCTTATAATCATCACTTTTACCAGAAATGGCAAAATTATCATAATAGGCGTATCGTGTCTCATTATTCGAAAATACTAGATGAATGTAAAGCTCGTGCACTTGACCTTTTGTCATTGCGTGTATCTTGTCCAGGCCTATCCAAAAATCTTCATCCAAGTTACCAAAACCATCGACATAGGAAAACCAGCCTTGATTAAAGTCCATCAATTTATAAACACGACGCTGTATGAGCATCCAGCCGGAGCCATTTGTTCCATTTTTGATAGCCACCTTAAATGGACCAATACGTGGCAGGGAAATTATTTTGATCTCAGATGTACCCTCACCACGTAGTGTCTCTTGCAGTTCTTTAATCGTATAGTGGAGAATGCGTTCGTTTTGCATATTGCATTTATCGTTGCTCAATTTGTTTTCGGTATCTGTACAGTTAACGGCTTGATTGAGATTGTGGGTTTTCCAATTCAGCGCCAGTTCTTGATTTGATCTGACTCTTTCTGGATTGGGCGCAACCTCAGTTCCGAACAGTCCGATTTGGTAATCCTTTTCCCTGATTATAGTTTCTTGAGCAAACATTTTCGCGTCGCTTTCTTCAACCGTTGCTTCTAATGAGGCAATTTGTTTTTTATATTCATTGGATAGGTCACTTTTTTCTTTAAGTTTTGCTTCCAACTCCACTATTTGTTTATCTTTCTGCTTTATAATAGCATCTTGTATATCGATCTTATCGTTCTTCTCGCTAATCGCAGCTTCATAGTTAGCGATCTGATTATGGTGCGTTTTCTTTAATGCTTCCAAATTTGTATGTCTTTCCGACAGTTTTGATTTTAAGAACACTATCAGATCATTGTCGTTCTGATTAGTGTTCTTATATGTTTCTAAACATGTTTGAAGGGCCAGGATTACGTCGTCTTTGATCTTGCATTTCTCGTGATATAAATTTAGTTTTTCCTTATAAACCGAAAGCTTTATTTTTTTAAGATCAGATATGGTGCTAAAGGCGTTATCCCTCAATAGTTCCCACTCATTTGATGACTATGCCACAAGGATCATACATTATTAAATTGTCCAGCGGCTGATTTTGGAGTGCACTCACCACAGTATGCTCTGATACGTCCTCTTGAGACTGCTCCAATTGGATGGTAAGTATATTTTGGGTATTCATTCTGGTAAAACCTATAAAAAGCATATAAATTATTGACTGATGTACATACGGTTGCTCTGCTCAATTGTCAAATATTTACTTATATTTTATTTTACTGGGGTAGAAAGTTATTAAACTTACAATTTTAAGTCGAAACAAAATAATTAAGGGTCATAAGGCGGCAGAAGTTCAAAATTATAAATAATTGCAACTTATGATTTGAAGAGGTCCTAAGGATTTCGATATAATATTATCAGCTGATTTTTAATAGAGATCGTTATCGCTCTATCGTAAAGATGCATTGCTAATATATCGATATGTGCTCAACTTTCTGAAGGGCGCGAGTTCAAAAATTTGTTTCATTCAGTATTATTTGCTCACCCAGAGAATTTTTTGACGTCTAATTAATCTGTCAGTTTTGGTTGCATATACAGTTGGCTTAGAAAAATCTACTACACAAAGCTTATGTTAGCACATATTACATTTTTAAAATTCGGTTTGATTCATGAAATTCGAAATTTTAGTTCAGAAATAGTTTTTAAGACTTTAAATATTTCCTACCACAAAGATGGTACGCGTCATAGAAGATGTCTTTGGCATTGCCGTTAATCCCATGACGCAGAAAACCGATCATGTGCGACGCTTCACTTTATGTTCAGAGAAGGGCATGTCTGTGTCAATATTGACTCTGGGCGCCATCATACAGAGTGTAAAGGTTGCAGACTTTAATGGAAAGCTGGAAGACGTTTGTCTGGGCTATGACGATGTTGCCGGATATTATCGCAATCAGAAATCCTATTTTGGTGCAACAATTGGACGTGTTGCTAATCGTATATCCCGCGGTCAATTTAAGCTGTGCGGAAAGGATGTTAATGTGAGCCGAAATTTTAAAGATCGCTACCATCTGAATGGTGGCTTTGTGGGCTTCGACAGCGTCATATGGGACGTGGTTGGCATACATAAGGATGGTGTGACTTTGCAACATGTTTCTCCAGATGGCCATGAGGGCTATCCGGGCGAGGTGACGGTCAACATTAATTTCTCGCTTAATGAAACTGGTTGTTTTGGCATGAGAATCGAGGCGCGTGCCAAGGCAACCACCTGCATCAATATATCTAACCAAAATTACTTTAATCTTGCCGGCCATTGTACTGGCAAGGACACTCTTTACCAGCACATGGTAATGATAAAAGCCAACTCTATTGTGGATTTGGATCAAGAGCAAATACCTACCGGCAAGCTTATGCCAGTGCGTAATACACCTTATGACTTTTCCACCTTAACCAATTTGGGCAAGCGCCTAAACCAAGTTTATCGATGCCCAATCTGTGGCTTTGATAACAACTATTGCGTCGATGTAGACCCGAATCAAGTAAAGTTAGTGGCCCGTGCAGTGCACCCATGTTCAGGTCGATTTATGGAGGTTCACACCAATCAACCGGGATTGCAGTTCTGTACAGCAAATAATTTGCCGGATGAAGAGCGGGGCGATGTACCCAATATTGGCAAGGATGGTTCACATTACGTTCAACATGGCGGATTCTCTATGCAGACCCAAAGGTATCCAGACGCTGTGAATAATTCCGAATTTCCAACGACCATTATCAATCCGGGTCAATTGTACGATCATCAAGTAGTATACAGATTTGGCGCATGTCCGAAGCGTGTGTAAGATGCCATTTCCATTCCACTTGCAGTAAATTATAATATTGGCAAAAAATTATTTCATGCAAAAATCAGTAATCATAAGGCATTTGTTTCATAATAAATATAGCTTTTCGAATTAGTATCGATACAGCGCCGCCAGATTTTATTAAGCAACGATACATCGATAGGCATGGCAACTATCGAATCCCATCGATTGACTAAAGCCAGCGCAAACACAAAAGTAAAAGTAGTTTATTAATTTGCAAAGACTTGTAAGAGTTGTGTGTGCCACGCTTACAAAATAACAACAAAAATTCATACCGCCTTCAAGCTGTTTAATTTACCGCAAATTTATAAGCACACTACGGCTGACTCAAGTCGTCCAACCAGCAGCAGCAGCAGAATGACAGTACGTACAAACACATACACACTTCTGTGTATCCCAATTACTGCAAGTGGCCGCAGGCTAATTGGAAAATCTTCTATCCATTCCGTTTAGGTGCATGAATTTAAAGTGGAAATGACGTGTGGCGGCTGTGCCAGTGCAGTGGAGCGAGTCTTGGGCAAATTGGGTGGTGCGTATATTAACATTAAATATTTAGAGATTAATGCTGCTGTTATAGTGCATATGTATACAGTATTTGAGTACCTATTAATACTGTAATACCGCCGAAGAACCTTATCAGGCAGACGGAATTTGTTTGTTTGCGGTTGCCAACTTAAGTCGGTTTTTTTCTTTCTTGTTTTTTGCATTTTACAGATAAGGTGGAAAAAGTAAACGTCAATCTGGATGAAAAAACAGTAAGCGTCAGCTCAAACTTATCGTCCGACGAACTGTTGGAACAGCTGCGCAAGACTGGCAAATCAGTTTCATATGTTGGTGTGAAGAAATGAGACGAGTTTCTCAGCAAGTTTCAGAAATACGGCAAACTGAAACTTGAAGTCTAATCAAATGAATTGCCGCATGGATATAGTGATTGCCGTTGGCTTTTGTTGTGAAACATCCACAACGAATCCTTCGAAACACAGCGTGATGATGCATACGTTCAATGAGATGGAATATTTAGTCAAAAGAAATATATACATTTAACTTATTCAAAAGCTAATATAGGCAACTTATCTACAAAGTTTGCATATGAATTTTGCTTAAACTCCAAATTTTAAGTAGTGGAACAATAAATTGTAGCAGCTCAAGCAGAAAGTATTTATATTAAACAAAGAGTTATACGCCCCATAGATGCAGAATTTAATAAATTCAATTTCTAAAAATTAAGTAGAGAATGCAATTATTGACATTATTGCACTAATCAAATATTTAGAAATATTTTAAATATTTCCAATGTAGTTCAGTTAATCAATAAAAACAGACAAATATGCCAATTAACTTCTTATGATATACCATATTTACGTACATTATTATAATACAAATTTAAACATATTGCAATTTTTAAGATTATAAATCAAAAAAATAAATTATTTGTTGTGCAAAACTTAACTTTAGCAATGTTTTCCAGTGGGAATAAAGGGATGCCACACAGAGTAATGATAATGATTTATCAACAAGTTTTTATTCATAAACGGATAATATATAAAAGGCACCTATCTAAGATGATAACGGGGCTGTTGGCTCTTGCTGCAAGTTAACCCAGTTATGTTCTCCTAAATAATCAAGGGATAGGGCTTAAATACAGAGTGTACAATTAAATGCGGGCACTTAGTCATGCTAGAAGCATTTCCCAGCGACAAATATCATGCTAACGCCCAACAATAACAATAACAATAGAGATTCAAACAGAACATGTCATAAATCTTGGGAACGGCAACCCAAAGTTATCAAAAATGTATTTTGAAACATGTTCGAGGCGTAACGAAATTATCAATCAAATGCCACATTGGCATGCAAAGAATGCAACACACACGCACGCACACACACACACACACACTGCACTAATTGAGTTTAGAGTTTGGGTCGACAAACGGAACGTTGGTTTTGTTTGGAGGCTTCGGAATTTGATGTTGTCGTCGTCGTCGTCTTTGGTGTTGCTACCTGAGTTTTACCTTTTGCTTGGTTGCGGTTGCATTTTGCGGCTCGTGTTGATTTATGCCCCATGCAGCGACACAGGAACAGAACCGAGAACTAAGCACCGGAGGAACTCAGACGATGTCAGGCGAAGGCAAAGACAAAGGGAGAGGGACACCGAGTAGGATTACCCAAAGCAGTCACTGCGCTCCGCTGTCACAATAAACGTCAGCGACACAGTCACGTCCTTGCCCAATAATTATTATTTTCAAGTGATGCAAGAGATTTTCAGATTACGGCCCTGTGGTCTCTCGCCCTCCAGGTGGCAGGTAGGTAAAAGCAAATTATTAGCGCTAATGCCGTTTAAATTGCCTCAGTAAAATAACAGCTTGTGCGTTTATTGGCCTTAACACTGCCACAAACGTAATGGGTAGCATTAAAATTCCTGGAAGCAATGCGCTGGCCAACTGGCTGATAGTTTCACTATAATATGCTCTGCCGTCTAATAAAATGCAGATATTTTTGGGCAATCGTCTATATACATTACGGCTAATCCTGGATTTTTCGATTAGCATTCAAATCAATTTTTAAGATCTTTTTGAAAATTTATCCGAGACGTGTTTCGCGTTTTTAGTGAATCCAGCCCTTCTGACTAAAAAAAAATGTGGGCGAAAGATAAAGCTCATTTTTAAAGAACTTCACCATTCAAATATAAACAAATATTAACGATTTGTACGTACTTTTAGATTTCATACAGGCGGAAAATGTGTGGAAAAGGCATGTCCAAGAAATTGAAGCGAAAAGCTTGATTCAGTCAAGGCTGCGGAAGAGACGCTAGTGTCTTATATATTCCTAAAAAGAAATTGTCACTATAAACAGTAAGCTGTTTGCTAATTACTGACAAAACCCCTTATTGCAAAGCCCCCGTTCAAGGTGTTTCCTGCTCTGCCTTTTTGTTACTCCCAAATGCAACTCTTGCAGCCGTCCTTTGCATGCACTTACAACTGGAAGGCATATTACGCTTGTCATCAAGTTCGCATGCATTAATTACGGATTTTAAAGCAAACTTTAAGCTTTTGGGCTTATAAGTAACTTTTATGAAACCATTGAGCAGACGACATAGATTTGATTAGCAATAATATGCAATCTTTGGACAGAGCATGTTTACTTCGGCTATTGCTTTTAGAAGCTAAAGAACTGAGTTTTTGTTTTAGGTTTTTTGTTTCGTTTTGTTTTGTATTTTTTTTTTGTTGGTGTTTGCACACTTGGTACATTGAAAACATTCCAAAAATTGCTGGCTAAATTCTTTGGCGCATGCTTTTCAGCAACTCTTAACCAGTTGGCTGCCAGTTGATCAAGTGACTGCCCTGACGTTCGGGTTCGGTTCGGCGTTTGGGGCATTGGCAGGAGCAGAGCACAGAGCACACGGACCGCGACTGGTTTTCACGTTGCGGCAGCTTCAAGCAAAAAAAAAATATAAATAAGTATATATAAAAACACAACAACAAGTCAGGAGAAAAATGCCGCTCTTTATTGTCATAAGATTTGAAAAGAACCGACGCGCTGGTCAGAACAATGGCACACTAAACTAAACCAAGCTGGACAACGGCCGGGCAATAAATTCCAAAATAAGTTAAGACGATGGCAGCACAAATCTTTGAAACTTTGCACACACGACAAGGTCGTTTCATAGCTACTATGGTTCCTATCTCTTTTTTAGTAACAGTTCGGCAGGCTCGGTTCATTGAACCAGCGACTCCTACGCCGCGAAATTAGAGTTCCTTGCAAAAACATATGGTAAAAAGAAACACAAAAATAAAATATATTTGGCAATTGCAGCTGGAAACAGTAGCCAATATATTTACGCCAAATGTGCCAAACTGCAGTGGAGTTCGAGTGCGCAGAGAGCAAACCTGTCGCCGCCGCCATGGACATTCCTGGGGCCCCCAAACATTGTCCGGGGGTTGAGGTTGAACGTGTGCCAAGCCCACGACAACACGCCAGCAGCAGCAGCAGCAGCAGCAGCAACAACAGCAGAGCAATAGAGCCACGTCTGGTCATAACAAGAGCAAAAATGCTAAGCGTAAATAACTCATAGATAATAATGCCATGCATTTACGAGTAAAGCAATTGCAATGCAGGCAAAACAAAAGACTTAGGACACGAACTTGCCAAAGGAGCTGCGAGCAGCGAGCAGCGAACAGTGAGCGCCGAGTCATGTAACAGCAGCAGCAGTAAAATCGACTCAGAAACAAGATCAACTGGTTTCAGCGGCAGGCAAAAAAAAAAACAAAACAAAAAAAAAATAACTCACTCAAAATGTTGAGCTCAAGACCAGTTGAGACCCAAGCAAGACCCATTGTTGGTCTATTGCGCGTGCCGAGCGCTGTAAAAATACTTTTTCCCAAAGAAGTTTCAGTTGTGTTTTTGACTTTTCGTCGTGCAGAACGATTCTGCTCTCTAGACCGCGATTTACGCCAGACGCAAAAACGCCAAACGCCGCGGGCGTTTTATGGGTGTATGTGTGTACATCTACGTGTACGTGTACGTCTAAGTGTGTGCGTGTGTGTGTGTGCAATATTCGCGAAAAGTTGTTTTCGCTATTACCCATACTTATATATCGTGTAGTATCTACCCATATGCATGCATACATATTTGTATATAAAGTCAATTTTCCTGTTAACGAAACCTGCCAAAACTGCAGCAGCAGCAGCGACGGCAGCAGCAACAACAACAACAACAAAAGATGCATGCAACATAAGTAAATTTGGTGTCGAGTGCCCCCCTAAAACAAATGTGTGCGAGTGTGCTAAATGCTAAATGTCTAGCAGATCAAAGTACTCGTAAATATGCAAATGCTACATGAATAATTGTTTGTCGAGTACCCGCAGTTTTGGGTGAAAGTAAAGCAATTTGTTAAATTAATTGCACGCAAGAATCGTTTATGAAGCATCGTTTATTTGTGTGCCATAAACTTACGGAACAGCTTGGATATATTTCCTTAAACATTATATTTGGATAAACAGAAAGCGATACATAGACTCGATTGGATTGTATACAAATTGAATGGATTAAA